TTTTGATTGTATAAGTTCACAGTTTCTTTGTGCGCCATTTTTTGTTCTTTCCAAATACTTATATACGTACGTATGTATAAGCGTTTCGGGTTCTTTATTTGAAATTTATTTAGTTTTTTTTTTTTTTTTGTATTTACTTTTCCGCTTCTAATTTTAATTATTCAGTTGCGAGGCTCAAAAGTCGCGAGCGAGTTTGTTTTTAATTCTTGTTGTTGTCGCGTTTGTTGTTGTGTTCCCCTAGTTTCGCCTCTCTCGCTTTAGCGTTTTTTTCGATTTTTTTTTATTGTTAAATACGTCGTTTAAGTTGCTCTTGGCTGGCTTGCTTTGTTTTCTTTGCAACTGCGTCGCAAAAAAGTGGCAAAATTTTCGGGCAAATGAAGCTTTAGATACACTACACTTGTTCGGAGACACTTTTGAGACTTAAAGATTTGAAAATTGAAAGAATCCCGGCACGTTACTGGACAATAACCCTCTTAACAGTGTGACCAGATGCCAGCGACAGTCCTACTCCACACTCAATACTCTACACACTATAATTCCCAAGTGCTGAGTCCGGCTCACCGCCTCCTCCTTCTTTTCGATGGCGCTGTCGGTGACGTACTGAAACAAATGCTTCACGAAACTTTAGGTTGCCGCGGAATGAACGACACACCAATACTCACGGATACACGAGCACAGGCACATATACAGACACAGGGGCAAAGCAACAAGTATGAATGAATGAGCGGTCTGCCGAGGCCCCTGTCGGCATCCTGTAGGTGTGAGTTTGCATGTAATGGTTAACGCCACACAATCGGGGGACTCGGCATTGGAATCGGTGGCCTGCGGAGGGGGTCCGGAATCTAAAATTTTAGATTCAGCCCGCTCTTTCTGCTTTTGTTGTCGTTGCTCTTCTGTTCTGAAAAACATAGCAAACAAACCTCGCGGACGCACACACACTCGCCCAGATACTCGCTCCGCCTCTCTCTTTCTCTCGAGCGGCGCGCCGCAGCGTGTAAGCACAGCGAGAAATTTTCATTAAGGAAACGATCGAAAGCAAAATGGCGGATTTGGCAAGGCCAATCATAACGGTTAATCGCATGGTTTGCGGTTTTGAGGATTGCATATTTCGAAATGGTCTTCTAATTTCTGCCACAAACCGTTAATTTTGTGGAGTATTTAATAACCCAATTATATATTACGGAATAGCCTAGGGTGTCCCATTTTACAGCCTTTGATTTCTTTGATTATTTATTTGTAATTTATTTAAGGTTCATATATTCGTATTGATTTCTGCTAAGTAATAAGTCTAAACAATCAATTACGGCCAGCAGAACAGCATGCTTATGTAAAAGAGTACTTAGACTCAAAACAATCAACAATCAATATTTAATGCTCTTAATAAGCGTAAAACGAGTTTATTTTTATTGATATCAGCATTGTAATTGCACTGGCATGTGATTAAAGCTAAGTCAAATCGATTCATGGCGTTTCTTAATGATTGTATAGTACACCTTTTGTGATGGAAACGGCAACGTAAAGGATGATTTTTAAGTACGAGTACAGTAATTACTTGCAATTAAATATAAATTAAGTGCAATTCAATATATTATGAATGTAGTTGTTTAGAATAGGGATATTACGTAAGCCAAATGCTCCATATATTACGATTTTTAGAGAAGGATTCAACATTCTACTTCAAGGTAACATAAAGGCATTATTTTCCCAGTACAACCAAGCTGGTCCCGAACTCGCATCACTGCCTTGCCGCGAACTTCACCCTTTTTGTGCACAGTGTAAAGATTCACACACAGACGCACACGATCAAACGGGCAGCAACAAAAAGGCCCAAAAGAAATCCGACAAAAAAAATAAGAACAAATTCCTGTGGCGGAGGCGCGCGAATGGGGAGGATTTTCGGGATTGGGATTGGATTTTGGGGGACTTGGAGAACTAGTGAAGATACACACACTGTGAAGATACAGATACAGAACCAGTCAGTGTGCCATATAAAATATGTAACATCAAGCTCATATCACAAGCGAACGACAGCGACGTTGGCAGCTCACCGACACAGAGATACGGATACAGATACAGATACAGATACAGATACGAGTACTACGACGTGTGATTGTGGGTGTGCGAGAGGGCTCTCAGCTGTGTGTGTGCGTGTGTGTGTGCCATGGGGGCAATATTTCAGATCAAATCATATGGCACCCACCCTTTACGGCCATTTGATGAATATAATGATGGGCTGAAACCCTAAGTAGACCCTTTAATTTACCTATTAAACGACTTCTTACTCGGAGAACTCTGGTATCTGCCACTGCGACTGATATCACTCCACTGTAACCCCACCCCAGTTACGAATTGGATCCTAAGTATTTCGAGTTAATTAAACGCCTCAATAGCAGTCCACGTGCTACTGCTGACGTAAGGGTCGTCAGCAGTAATACGACAACTCATAGGGGCGTGCACAACATCCAATACCAGTCCGAATGAAATAAAAAGCACCACTCAACGATACTTTGTTGTGCCTTGGTATTTTACTTATTTTTCGGAGCATTTCTCACGCACACATCGACGGCCCAAGACTCTCGCAAGTGAAATAAGATTTGCAAATTTCTACGCCCTAAATATGCCAATTAACAACGTACCCTACACGTAATCCCCCATTTGGTATCCACGATCTATCCCCAGCCGGCAGCTGAGCCCATTGAAGGAGCAGCTGAACCTCCAGGACGTTCCCTAGTACTTCCCCGCCCAGAATTCTTAGTCGAGAGCGCATCACGTGGTCACCCACCACAAGGCCCCACATCCCCCCCTCATAAAAAAAAAAAAAAAAAAAAATAGCAATCCTCTCGCACATACACACAAGAGAGGGTCACACAAGAGAGGCACCCGAAATTAGCAATAATCTCGCCGAGAGCAAAATTCAAGTAAAAAAAATGTATATAAAAAAATTTGCAACAACAAAAAGTACAACAATGAAAGAGACCGAAAACAAAATGGCCGTCAGGTGTAGAAATTTCTGTGGACGTGTTGAGTTCCAATTCCAAAACTTTCGGCCATTTTCTAGCCCATTGCATTTGCATTACAAACTTATCGAATTTCACACACATTAGATGTGTAAATATGCGTCTGCATTGTAGATATATACCATATCCGTATGTGTATATACATATGTATATGGTGATATGATAGACGCCAACAAAATGGCGCCAGTCCAGAATGGCGTCGATTTTATTTGTAACTCTGCCCTGTAACAATATTTTCCCCATTTCGTTCGATACTCGATCGGCTTTGAACTTGGTAATTGAGAAGCTCCGCGCGATATTATCAACAAGAAGGATTTCCTTACGGCCATATTTGATAAAAAGTGAGAAAAACAAGTGTTCCTAGAAGTTGTGAAAAATGAGCCCTTGAACATAAGTTGTAATTGCAGTGTTTTAGGAAGGTTCCGCAAAACCGCATGGTTTCAAAAACCGCATGGTTTCAACCATAATGTTAGTTATTTTTCTATTACTCCGATTCCAAAACTCCTCTGAATGCAACTATCTGAGTAGTCAATTTACAAATCTTATAAGTCACATACATTAATGTTGTTCATAAAGTTCAATTGAGGGTTAGAGCCCTCATAAATATTAATCGAGCTCCAGTTTCAATTAAAACTCCCAACGGTTGTCAATTTGAGTTGCTCAATGTAACATTATTACTATAGTTACAGGGCTATTATTCTTATCATAGTTTTTTAGGCAACCAAAATGTAATACAAGTGCCTCCAAGAAGCATTCCGAGTGACTTAATTAATCGAAAAGTGGTCTGCTCGAGTTGCATGTGTCGCAAGTTAGCCGCATAGTTACACCGATTAGACATTTAATCAAATTTGACCCCAATAATTGGCATTCTGCAGCATTTGGCCGCACGTACACCTCGTTTGCATCCGAATCCGAGAGATTGGACGGGCGACAGCCTCCATTAAAATGCCCCACTAACTGCATTCCAAGAATTTACAAGTCAAAGATCGAATGTGCGCCGCTCAAACGATAGTGTTCCGCCCCTTCGGCCGCCCGGCCGCCTTAACCCCCTCGGGCCGCCCCTCCCCCCCTCTGGTGGCACTGGTGCCGCTGGTGCCCCTGGTGCCCATCAACATCATCAATAGCCAGATGCATTGTGTTTTCGAGCGGAGACTGTGGGTCCAGGGCCACCGCCAGCGATCAGCAGACAACAAAGACTCAAATTGAATAAATAAAGCGCAAGATTTATGCATACGAAATTAATAAATTGAAATATATGTACAATAAGTATTAGGCGCCAACAATGAGCTGAACTGCATCGGACGTTTAATTTTAATGCCCACCCATCTCCCGGCTGGGTTTATCAGTGGGCCACGGCCCGAAAAGCGGAAAACCCGAAACCGAAACCGAAAAACAACAGGGGAGATTAACATTAACACACGCACAGCTACAGTGCGAGAAACCAGATATGAATTATGTGCGATAAGAGCGAACTGCATTGGTGTCAAAAAACAAGAATGGAACGGTTAGGGCTCGCAGCTCGCCGCTGCACCGCACACTCGAATACCCTGGGTGATCTATCTATGTGGCAGGTGCTGATGGATTTACGAGCAGGGCTGGCTGAGATCACTTGTTTCAACACGAGCTGTTGCAGTGCGTAAATCCAGGATAATGGTGGTTATTAACCCATCGTTATAAGGCAAGATTACCTTGGGGCTCATCACGAACCAATTAATAGTTAACCCCAATACATGATAGTTTATCGGAATGAAGAAAGCTAGGGATATGCGTGTTTATCGGCTCCTGACAGAGAACTAAAGTATCTGAAGGATACTGCAACTGATTCTAGCATACAAACAATTATATACGATGAAAAGGGAAATGTTGAAAGTGATAAAATATGAGAACTTAAAATGAATACTTAACTCCTTCAAGAAAGCTGTACCCATTCTATATAGATTCTGTGCTTGGGTTTCAATCTTAGAACTACCTAATTGAGTTTTCAGGGTTATGCCCAATTCTATATAGAGTATTTCAAAAAACAAAAAACACATCGGAGTGATGAAATGCACGGTGGTGCATCGTGCAGCGCCAAGGCGGTCGGCTGCATATAATATGAGTACTATGCTATATAAGCCAGACCAGATCTGATCAGTCGACGTCTGCGTCGGCAGCGGCAGCAGCAGCAGCAGCAGCAGCAGAGGCGTCGGCGGCGGCGACTGCGGCAAGTTTTATGAATGAACGAGTGCAACTGCAACTCCAACGAAAAGAGACGGGTGGAAACGGCTTGTGAATGGCAAGCGAAAGATCGAACTATTGTAATTACTACGAGATTATGCAAAATGCATATGCAATTAGTGGCAACTTCCCCCCTACCCTCCCCCTCGTCGTGCGACTTCTGAGTCATGGGGCAACTGGTTTGACTTGACTGGCGGCCTGAGAACCTAAAAAGTGAACACTGAATGCTGAACACCGTACAAGTACAACTGTGAGTACTCCAATATGAACTCATATGATTGGAATTTCTGTGCCGTTGCCGATGATGATGACGAACCACCAACCAGTCGCACAGAAGCTCTAGAAGATTGTGCAATTGTGCCCCAACCTGTTTGCCACTTTGTAGCACCGAGTACGAGTATTCTCCGATCTCGAGATGCAGATGGAGATGCAGATGCAGATGCAGATGCACATGCACTTGCTTCGAATCGAGTCACATCGAGTCGAATCGAATGGAATCCACAGCCATTGTCCCTCGTTTGTCCAACATGCACATTCCATTCTGTAAAAAGCGATCAATGCCAAGTCAATAATGAAACGATGCCGATCCATTTGGTGGCGGAGAAGAATATAAATTTCTGGCCTATCAGTTGGCTTCGTAAAAGAGGGTACCGAAGCACTGATAATAATGTCGCCTGCGAGAATTCCTTTAGCGGCATTTAGGGCCACTTAATTATGACCCCCCCGCGTGCCCTGCCCATCCCTTCCCTTCCCCTTCCCCTACTCCATCACTCGCTTGAAAAGCAAAGAAGAGCCCAATCCTAAATTCCTGGAATTTCGACTTGGTCTCTTGTTAAATAACCAACTGCTGTATTTGTTCATGTCGCTGGCCCTTCACTCGGAGAAAATGCGGCATGTTTTTTGTGAAATGCATTAGGAATGCAGTTTCAGAAGGTTATCAATTGACGTTGAAATTTTCAACTGCCAGCAACAAATTGAAATGAATTTCATATTTTCATAATGTTCCTTTGATCGTCAACACCATCAAGAGGACATTCAATTCCAAGCAGATGAGTTGTAATTTCATAAATTTCCCTGATCAACTAATTATTCACGAATTCCAGATCTAAGTTTTCCCCATTTATTAAAGTGTTTACCCACTCCAACACTCCCCAGTTGTGGGGGTTACTCTGCGTTTCTTATGGCCTGGCCTATGATGATTGTCCACGAAATTGGCAAGGCGAAAAGGTGCTTCAACATCATAATCCACGTTCCGGAGATGGCAGATGAGAACGAGGCTCAGGGAGACTTGGACTTGGTTCGATGAACCAATTAGATCAAACAACTTACACCACTCCGCACACACACACACACACACACTTCTACTGGGTGCAACAATACAACAACAGAGGAGAAGACTGCGAGAACAACAAAAAAGAATTCTTTACGAGCCTCGCTCCGGTGCACGGTCATCAAGTCAGCTCGTTCAACATTCAAGAGGCATCGATGATAATATTCATTCATTTGATCAAACCGCCGATGATGTCGACGGACGGAGATGCAGACGACGATGGAGACGACTTTCATTATGGGCCTGGGCCTCCAGACCCTGTCCCAGTAGTCCCCCATCGCCGTGCCCATCCGAGCTCCATCACCATCCACCTCCGTCTACTGGGAGGCCGCCCAAACGCAGTCCAAAACCAAGTCAGGAACGGTGGGGAAGTACAAAAACATATTGCCAAAGTAGCAGCAACAGGCAAAGCAACTACGGCTACATCATCGACCAACAACAGCAACACGAGAAATCTCAACAGCAGCATTATGCATCATTACACTGAGAGAAACAAGGTTACCCCTTCTCCGCAAAAGGTTTAGACAAGCTGCAAGTGGCTGTGAATAAGTGGGTGCAAAAGGTTCCTCTGGCAAAGGGTATATAAATTATTACCATTTCATAAGGGCTCCGGGATTATAAACATATTGCTTTATCTTAACTTATGTGGTCAATGCTATCCTCTTAGAATGCATCCTAACAGAAAACTAATTTTATTACTATTATGATTATTTTTGTAAGATATTTAACATTTACTTCCCTGCCCTCTAGTGGAATAGTTGTCCCATTCGGACTTGTAACCCACACTTTTTCTTTCTGGCAGTGCACTCAATCGACACATTCACTTATAGGTCTCAAAATCGATGAAAAAAAGGAATATGTTGAACGGGTGGTGGCGGTGGCGGCGTTCGCTTGTAGCACGGCTCAAAACTGCTGTCCGTTGTCCGTTTGTCCGCCGTCCGTCGATCGTCCGCTCACACATACAGCACACAAGGGCACGGACACACCTCCACACACACAGCACACGCACCCAGAATGCATGTGTATGCAGACGAAGCCAAGACCTCTTTTTAATGTATTGCAATTCCAAGAATTTAGGAAGAGGAACGTGAGAAACTTTGTTTTTGTTATTTTCTTTTCTTTGCATTTCATTTCAAGATACGATGCCGATCTCTGACTCCCTGCCCCGCCCCCTACGCCCTCGCCCACTGGCGGTGTTTACGTCTCGAGCGTCCAGGCTTCGTGGCTTTGTCCAGTGGTGCTGACATCAAATCTGGCTATCAAATCTGGCTGGTGTCCTTTGAAGACTCTTCCAAGGTTTCGGAACTTTGAAATTAGGTCCAGTTAGGAATCGAGAAATGCTACTCTATTGGCTACAATCTTGCTAAACACACTTTCCGGTTTTTTGAGAATATCTATTAAAAATAGATTCACCTAACCCAAAATGCATTTTTCACACATTGCAATCGGAATTACGTACACAAACGGACTTATATGTATCTTCAAACAAATGTTTACCAATAAAATACATTTTTCAACTGCTAAAAATGGAGATGATCTTGCTAGTATGCTTCCTAAAATAGATTGAACATTTTGGTTTGAATATCGTATTTGAGGAATACATATAGTTTGGCATAATTATAATATCATAAATCGTTATCATTGGTGACCTGACATGACCATCTTTTCTTTCTTTCATCTCGGTCTAAATCCAAATCATAGTGGTTTCACTATTCATGTTTTAATATCCATAAAGATCTGATCTCTTTCATGAGGCTTGGAACTGCAACCTCAGATCTAGCTTTTTCGGTACTCCCATGTGGGCACCTCTGGAGGCCCAGGCTCTCGTATCCATAAGTCACCGAGGCGTCTTCGTCTTGGCCTCCGCTTCTTTTTGGTCTTCGGCGGACGTCGCTGCCTCTGTTGGCGTTGCAGTTTGCAGAATGCCCAGACCCAGACATTCATATTGTATACACTTAAGTTCTTTGTGGAATTTCGGTGCAGTGGAGTTCCGCGACGGGGGGAGGTGGGAGGTGGGTGGTGTTTGGTAAGTGGTGAGTAGTGAGTAGTGAGTGGGTCGTGCTCGTTGCGGTGTGAGTGCTCGAGTGCCCGGTGTCTCTGTGCGAGTGCAGACTTGGCTAATAAAGCCGGCGACAGGAGAAAGCCAAATTCCAAGAGCACAACATTGTAGCACTTGGGTGGTGCCGAGGTAAACAAAAGTATCATGGCAGCAAAGGGGCAGGGATCTCCATCTCCAGCTACAGCTCCATATCCCGCGAACTGCATTTAGTTATTATTATTCTGTTTGCTCGCCAATCGTTTCCTTTCTGCATTCGCTGCAGATTTCGCCGAGTGTATGCGTGTGTTTGCTGGTGCGTGTGCTGAGCGCATTTCTTTTTGGGATGCCGCTGATCGGAACATGGATGTGGCTGAGGATGAGGTTGTGGTGGTGGTGGTGGTGGCTGTGGCTGTGCGCCTGCCTCCGGAATGTGCAACTCTTTTTCTTCCTCCATACCCATTCGATTTTGGCGAGAAGCACTGAATCAGTTTCGAGTTCAACTTGTCCAGAGTATACTCCATTAAAGGTCGTGCTTTGTAAGGATAAAACCATATTTGTAAGCTAGATTTCCCGAAAGTCACCAGATGAAGAGCCTCCTCCTCTATTTCCTTTCTGTGTATAATCTATAATGTATATTTCAAAACAAGAATCCAATCCCAAAGATTGGATATTTAAGAACAAATTATATGATTAGATGCTTATCCCAGAGTATCCCTTATTCGATCCTATGTCGATCCGCATTTTTTCCGTTTTGGCTTGCTTTTCTTGGCCTTTTGGTTCTTTATTTTTCCTTTTGCCTTTTACTGTGTGGCGCAGGGCAGCAGCGACAAAATAGCAGAATCCTGTTGCCATGATCGTTAACAAGATGCCAAGACAACGAGGGAGGGGGGCGGAGTAGGGGCGGTGCTTCGGGGGGCAGATTGGTGGAGGAATCTGGAATCTGTGGGAGCTTCGAAAAGTTGGCGGCAGCCAAATTAAATAGGCGCAAGCGCTTTGAGTTAGCCACGAGTTGTCCAGAATCCAGAATGGGGTTTTCAACTTCAGTTTGCTGCTGTTGTTGTTGTTGTTGAATTTTTGTTGCATTGTTTGTTACCGGTGTGTGGTTCTTGTTATTGCCCAGTTGTTGTTGGGATGTTGTCGTTGTATTTTGGTGTATTTTATGGTGTTGTTGTTATTACTGTTGTTATTGTTGCTGAACCTTTTTCGTTGCCTTTTTTTGTGAGTTGCTTGCGAGTTGATTGTCCTGTCCCCTCAAGTTTTTGGCCTGGCCTGGCAGGAATGCTGCCTTACGGGTAGAAAGAGAGAAAATCTTCTCACCTGAGAAAGGTGATGTGGCGCGGGGGGTTTCCACAGGGGGAGTGGCGGAATATGCTGCAAGCCAAGGATCGAGATGCGGTTCGTTCTTGTTTTTCTTTTGAATTTCAGCTTTGTGTGCTGATTTCGTTTTTTTTTTCGCCGGTGTCTGTGGCCAACTACTTGGAGTTCTCACATGTATCTGTGAGTACATCCCCATCACTGAACGAAATCAGGACTAGACAAAATTAAGGTAACGGTTACATTTGAAACCAAGCAAGATTTCCTTTGATCTGGCACAAATCTGTATTCTGTTTTAAAAACTTTTTCTGGTAGGCCCAGAAACTTCTGATCGATGTTATTAAGACAAACATTCTAAACATCTTTATCCGAATTCTTATTTTAATTAAAGAGATCATGCAGATCTTAAATCTGTGGATCAAAAGAAAACTGATTTTTTTACGGAAAGTATATGATTCATTCCACATCTGCAGTGGCTATGATGTTAGGACTTAAAATTTTGGAAGAAATAATTCTTAGCTACAAACAGCGATTTGTATTTACTCTAGACTCCGGCAGGATATTTTTCCGCAGTGGACGTACGTCGTTTATTATGATTATTTTGTTTGGCTGCCTTTGGCCTGTGCAAAAATCCGCACATAATCTGGCAAAACCAGTAGAACAACAACACCAAAGGATGCGAACAGATCTCGTTGGCTTGTTGGTTATGCGTGTGTGAGCCAAGGCGCAAAATCCCTATCCTCACTTACATACCTCTCGGCTCCGTCTGTCCATAGGGTCCAGGAGGGCTGTCCGATTGTCTGGCTTTTTATCTTTTTGGGATTTCGCCTTTTGTCCTGCTCAACGCATTCGAGTTTTCCCAGAAATGTTAATTATAATACTCACAAACATACATAATTACTCGCATTTCGCATTTCGATGCCCGTAGTTCCCATATCTCCCATATCCTGTTTACGTGGCTCCGGATTTCGAGCGTCGATTGTCCGTTCTCGTTTTTCGCATTGCGTTTATTAATGCGGCAAATAAATTTGCATGCCGTGCACATTTTTCGCCGTTCATTAATGCTTCTTGTTTATTTATTTTGAATATTTTTCTGCACTTTTCTGGCCTTGCGCTCGGATTTGGTCAATGAAAAGGGTTTGGTGCGTGTGAATTGTGCGGATAAATAGGGGAACCATAAAAGGTGCATTGTGATACCGGAGTGACATGTCAAGGATACCACTGCTGGGCCCTAAAAACTAATGGTGATCGAATTCTTGGTACTATATTAGCATATTTTCCCGTTGTTCAGTAGGGTGTCTAAATTATTAAGAAGTTAAGAAAACATAATATTCTCAGACGCCACTTCTTTAAAATTGTTGTTGGAGCTTATTTGAAATTTAATTAAACCAATTTTATTTTTGTTCTGTTTTATTAAATAAATTTATAAATAATTTAAGCAATATATGGAACGATACAGCGCGAAATATTAGCAATATGGCTTAAAACGTTCAAAGAGGTAAGAGCAAATTTGCATTTACATTTTTGAATACCTTAAGCCGTATTGTATAATTAGTTTAATGAGTGGATTAGGCCAACTAATCAACGGAAATGGAATTTGTCCACTGATACTTAATATTTAATTGCTTAATTGACACAGAATTGGAAATTGAAAAACAAAAGCAAGGCAAAAGCAATAAAATTTAAACAATTTGTTACAACGCAGTTTTTAAAAGTTTATAATAAAATCGCCGCCATTATGTTTTTGCTGCCCCAGCACCCCACCACCCCATTTTGCTATTCGCCCGCTCTCTCCCGAAACTGAAGAGCGTAAATATACGCCTCCTCCCTTACCGCGCCAAAGCACAACAACAACAGCAAGAATGTCAAAAACTAACAAAAACCTTCACGACGTTTCTCTCGCAAGCACACATACCAATACACAATACCGATGCCAGTAAATAATGCCAATTGATCGCTAAACTCTCTCGCACTCACACACACGCGCGGCCACCAATTTATCACCTACTCACTCACACACACTGCCCCCACACACCCCAGTGCGCATGTGTAGGTGCTCTCTTTCGGGCACACACCAAACACCAATACCAGTGCACATACTAATCGCCGCGAAGCAAATAACACAACAGCAGCAACAACAAGAGAGCCGATCACGTATTGCGCAGATACGTGAGCGTCAGATTCGAATTGGGGAGCGAGAGGAGGGGCGGGGCGGATGGGGGGCCAACTAACGCCACCCTTCCAGCAAAGCGATAATGGACAGGCAAAGCGACAAAGAGCGAGAGAGAAACCAGTTGCCAGTGGCACGTCGACCACATTCCAGGCGAAAGACGTTAGACTTCCATTTCATTCACAATTTTCAACGTTCGAGCCGTTGTTGTTGTTCCCCTTGCAGTGACGCCGGCGCAGACGTCGACTGCAGCAGAGGCAGTGGCAGCGATTGCATGTGGGGGCCGCATTTTGGAGATAAATGTGCCTTTTTTTCGTTTTCCCCACGGGATGCTTGGCGCTTGGCATGCGACACCCCAGAAGAAAGAAGAAGAAATGAGAAGGGGAAAACCTTAAGTGCCAATGAATAAGAGCATCAAAACTTAAAATACGCATCGCTAAAGTACCAACTCACTATATATCTTATTCATTTAGGGAAATGGTCTCCTGAACTTATGTATATCAAAGATCCATTTTCATAAATTTCACAACCAATTTTCCATTTAAAATGCCACCAGTAACCTTAAACTGTCCTAGTTTAAAAAAGCTCGGAGGGTCTTATGAAAAAAGAAGTGGCGCCCAATGCTGGGCGCGAAGAAGAAGCAGCAGCAGCTTAGGGCCGATCAAT